ACATGGAGGCCCTGGGGCTGCTCCAGGTTCGATTTCCGGTCAAGGGCACGCACTTCGGTTGATCAGCTGAGGGCTTTAAGAGCTGAGGCACTTCCTGCTGAACCGAGAACCTTCCCACTTAGCTAATGGAATGCCCTTGCTGCCCACGGTCGCGCATCCTGGCAGGGGCCACCACCTCATCCGATGCGCACACAGATTTAAAAGAGAAAATGACGACAGAGGGTTTAATGGAACAGACAGCACTGCCATCGGCAGCAATGCCAAAGCCTGGGCCTGAGTGCAAGCTCTCAGCCAGGGAGGAAGGAGCCTGTGATTCAGCGCCCTGCCCCATTTTCCCCTTAAGGCTCTGGGACTTTCAGTAAATGCTGAGGTGTCCTGATCACCAGGGGGCGTGGGGGAGGGGACAAGGCTGCAGGACCGTCCTTATACACAGCTGTCTGCTCTCGCACACAGTGCTTGCTCTTTTGTGAATCGCTGGTTGATCCCCACTGTGGGTCAGACGTCATGGGCTTGAGAATAGGTGTGGGGTCTCGAAGAGCCACATTCTAAACACCCGGCCTCAGCTGTTGCAGGCACCTGGCTCCTGAGGCAAAGGTGCTTCCTCTGGCTTGACTGTTCTCCTGCCCTCCCTTGCGTTTTGGGGACCACGCTTTGCCACAGGGGGAGAAACAGCCCGGGGGCCCCTGAACGGGTGGACCTGTCACAGGGACGCGGCATGATGACATCCAAGCACTCTCCCTCCTAAGGTCTTGTCAGAGCAGGCGAGGTAGCTTTATGTTGGGAACCTTCAGGTCTTGGCGGCCCTCCGTCTCCAGGGAAACTTCAGCCCCAAGAGTGGTGACATGGAGATAAAGCACCATCGTTGTCCGATGCTGCTTCGGAAACTCGGCCTCCGCAGGCCAGGCGGGTCCCACTGCCCTTCAGGCACTCCTGGCGCAGCCCACGCCTCAGCTCGCCCCCCTTTCTGCTGTCGTGTCTGACTGCAGAAGGACCCTCCCAGGCTCAAGGTCTGCTTTGCATCAGGTGCTTGTCTGGAGCCAGAATTCAAGTCTCGTGGCATCGGGTTCAGGCTTTGTGCGCTGACCACTCGGCCACAGACGCAGAAGGCGACACCCAGAAGCACGGAAGAGCGCATCCTTCCCTCATGACCGCGTGCGGCGTTTGTCATTTGAAATACTTGCCATGGGGATGCCAATTATAGATTCCTTCCCTCAAGAGCAAATCCTAATCCAATGTGAGCAGGGCCGGGACCTGACTCTCAGTCGTATTATTATGGGCGGAATGCTTCCCCTGCTGGGCGAGAGCTCAATGCACTATGCAGGTGATGGCCTCAGAGGTCCCCTGAGTGAGAGAGGAGGGGGCAGGGCCTGCCTGCTCTTGTTCCTGTGGGCTCAGGCACCACTTACTAGTACACACTGCAGAATTTCAGAGGGAAACAGAAAGCCTTGCATGCTTCCAGAGGCTGCATGGCAAGCAGATGGAGTGTTAACCCCTTGTCTATTTTGGGTAAAGTAAAAAGATGTCTCACGGGAAAGAAGAGCTATTTGGATGCCACAGTTACTTCCAAAGCATGACTTTAAACCTCATGAGGGGGAAAGCCCTTTAGCCTGAATGAAATCAACAACACAGGGCGACCCTGCAGGTCAGGCTGCCTTCCTCCTTGCTGCGTTCACAGCCTCCCTGATGTATGTGATGGAGACCTGGGACGTCTGAATCACCCGCTGGGAGAGGCGGGGGGGGGGGGGGGGGGGGCGGGGCGGGGGTGGGAGCTGAACAATCTCAAACCAGGCTGCACGCTGCACGGAAGAACCACCAGTGCCCCAGCCCAGAGAATCGGATCCAATTGGTCAGAAACTTGGGAGGTAGCATGGGTGTTTTCAGGGGGTGGCGGAAGTGGTAAACATTTATTTAAAAGTTTTTTAAAAAAACAAACAGAAACAAACTCACAGATACACAGAACAAACTGAGGGGAGAGGGACTGCCAGATGGGAGAGGGATGGGGAGGACTGGGTAAAAAAGGTGAAGGGATTAAGAAATACAAATTGGTAGTTATAGAATAGTCATGGGGATGAAAAGTACAGCATAGGGAATGTAGTCAGTAATACTGTAATAACTATGTGTGGTGCCAGGTGGGTACTACACTTACTGGGGGATCACTTTATAACTTATGTTAATGTCGAACCACTATGCTGTAAACCTGAAGCTAATATAATATTGAATGTCACATGTAATTAAAATTTTTTTAATTAAAAAGAATAAAAGCAGCCCAGCCAGTGGCTCAGTGGTTGAGTGTTGACCTATGAACCAGGAGGTCATGTCTAGATTCCTGGTCAGGGCACATGCCTAGGTTGCTGGCTTGATCCCCAGTAGGGGACGTGCAGGAGGCAGCCCATCGATGATTCTTTCTTATCATTGATGTTTCTATCTCTTTTTTCCTCTCCCTTCCTCTCTCTGAAATTTTTATATATATATATTCAGAGAGAAAAAAAATCTTAGCTTCACCACTAAAAAAAAAGTGTTCATGAAAAAGCATAACATCCATGCAGTGATGTGCACAAATCTGAAACTCCACCACCCCACCCCCCACATCAAGTTATAGAACATCATCATCCAGAGGCCTCAGCGCAGGATTTTTAAACTTAAAACTCTTTTATTTTGAAAAAATTAAAACTCTTCAAGTTGCAAGAGTATTAACAATGAAAGCATGGGCATTTAAGAAACCTTCTCTGTTGATTCTAACATACATACTGTATTGATTGTAATAATTTGCTGTTTTTGCCACACTTCTGGCCATACAAAATCTCCAATACTGTTACTGATTTCTTCACCAGGTCATTGTTTTTCAAGGTTCCTTCAACATAGAAATTAATGGTACCACAGATACATTTAATTTTGTTGTACTGTGATTGTTTTTATAACTTTTCATGCATTGTTTGTGATCCACAAGCTCCCTTTTCCCAGTTATATATGGATGAAGCCGCCCTGTTAAGCTATAAACAAAAATATCTTATGTGTACTTGAGAAAAAGAAAGGTGGAGATCATGCTAAATATTTGTGGGTCAGCCACTGATTGATAATCGGCAAGGCCAGAGATGAAATCTGGAGCCCCCTACAGCTCCTGGGCAGGGATATATAAAAGGCAGGAGCCTGAGGAATGAAGGCCTCGTGAAAAAAACAAACAAAACAAAAACAAGAGCAACCACGCCCAGGCCTGGTGGAAATAGGCAGAAGCCAATCTGAGCTGTGAGTTCAGGAAGGCCAGCAGGAGAAATTCTGAGATGTGATGGGAAGGGAGGATGAGGGAGGCGACAGCAATAAACCCAGAGCCAAGCTTCTCCGGGGAACGTGTGGCCACAGTCAAGGAGCTGTGCTGTCTGTCACCAGAGGCCGAGACACAGGACAAGGCTGGCTCAGAAGGAGTGCAGCTGCCAGGGGGTGCCCTGTGGGCCTGCAACTGTGTCCACCTGAGCGAGGCACCTTATTTTAACTTGCACAAAGGCTGCATATGGACTAGCAGTGGCTCTGGGAGCAAAGCTGGTACAGCTGGACTCTGCCCAGGCTCTGTACCTCTTCTTTGGCTCCTAAACATAGTTGCAATTCCTTACACAACAGAGAAGTGGCTTTTCCATTCGCAACAGCCCGCAGAGTCAGGTGGGAGTCAGATGCAGCTCTACAAAGGAATGTTCCAGATGAATGAGGAGAAACACCTTTAATTCCTCACGTGGTGGTAGAAGATGAGCCTGGTGATGGATGTGGGGAACTGCCTGTATGAGGGCATCTCTGGCCCAGAAGTGAACAGTCTTAAAAGGATGAGCCCATCCCTTGAGCTTGGCACCCCACACTCAAATGTTTGGCAAAGACAAGTTCTCTTCAGGCCAAGTACCCAATTCCTTATGTATTGTTCTTCTTGCAAAATATAATTTCGGTTTGCATGCAACATTTTAGGTTATTAAAAGAAAGAGTGCAACAACAAGAATTTTGTAACTCAGTATAGTAAAACAAATGACACTGCCTCAGAATACTAAAGTCTGTCTTGTCTTTGATTTTACAAGAACTTGGATTCACTTAAGGTTGTTTCCTAACAGAACTACGCTCTATAATGAAAAATTTCTCTGTTCTAAAAAAAAAAAAAGGCAGGAAAATAGAAAATGAGTAAAAGAGTGGATTTTTGAAATCTAATTTCAGATGGATTAGATTTTAGACAGAACAAAGAATGAGTTTTTGAGTCACATGTGGTTATAATTTATACAGTATTCATATTTTGCAAACTTGAGCCTGTTTGTGTACACACACACACACACACACACACACACACACACCCAGAACATCTCCCCATCCCTTTCCTTATATATTGAATTTGGTTCCTGGATAATGCTAACTTCTCTCTGAATTGCGCTGTTTGGGAGCTTGTGGCCTATGAGCAGGAAAGTTCTGCTCAGAAGCATGAAACCGTTAAGTCTGCTGAGGGGGCAGGAGCAGTAAGCACTGAGGAGGAACTGAGGAGGGTACCTGCAGAGCAAGGACAGTAGTTACCTCTTAGGCTCTGCAAACTGACAGCCCACGACAAGACGGGATCCTCCCTGCTGCCATCCCAGGTCTGAGCTGCCAGAAGGGGTGGGGCTGATGGGGGCTGAGCTTTGGACTGGGCCCAGAGGGGATCAATAAAGGCACTTGTGTGTGCCTGGTGTATATGACAGTCCCCAAACCTCATGTTGCCTTATATGCTGAGTATGCTCTGTGCATCCTCTCCCATCCATATGAGCAGGGACCCCAGAGTTGATAGCACATAGCAAAATGCAATCATATCCCTAGACACCCATTGGCACAGTCTTACCTTGTACAGATCTCTGTATGGGGGAAAAGCTTAGACATTGCAACAGGGAGAAACATGATGAAGACAGTGCTGTTCTCAAACCAGCAGGGAGAAGAGAGAAAAGGAATGGGAATGGAGGCCGATTTAAAACAAGGTGACCACCGGCTGTGCGAGGCCAGCCTCTTACCGTAGTGCGGGATGATGGCCCAGGCCATGGCAGAGGCGTAGATGCCGCCGATCATCCAGAACATGCAGAGCCAGCTCAGATGCTCGCCCCGCTTCTCTCGGGCCAGCACTTCCGCAAAGTAGGAGAACACGATGGGAATGGCTCCTCCAATCCTGCCAAGAGATACAGAGAATATGGGAAGTCAGGGCCGAGCCGTCATGTGAGCTACAAAGGGCAGAACCAAAGCAAGCTCTCACAACACATGCTCTCTATCCCAGCATATCAGAGAATGTATACTTTCTATCACTTTATAACTTTAATATTATAACTTCTACGTAATATAGTTTTGTTATCGCTCTAATGCAATGGTTCTCAACCGTCCTAATGCCACGACCCTTTAATACAGTTCCTCATGTTGTGGTGACCCCCAATTTCATTGTTACAAATTGAACATAATTAAAGCATAGTGATTAATCACAAAAACAATATGTAATTATATATGTGTTTTCCCGTGGTCTTAGGCGACCCCTGTGAAAGGGTCCTTCGACCCCCAAAGGGGTCGCGATCCACAGGTTGAGAACCGCTCCTCTAATGCCTTGAACCTGCAATTAAGCCAGGTTACCAAAAGGTGGCAGTGGTGTCCTACTCGTGGCTTACAGATCTCAGTTTAAGATTCCAATGTTCTACATATTTGAATGTTCTACATATTTGTCAAAAATTACAATATTTGGTACAATCTAGTGAATATTTTAATAAATGCATTAAAAAGAGATAGTATGATGAGCTTTTTCGGGGAGAACACACAAAGAAGAGGTCATGTGAGCACTCAGGGAGATGGCAGCTGCCCGCAATCCAGGAAAAGAGAGTTCTCCAGAGCCAACAATGCTGGCACTCTGATCTCAGCGTCCAGCCTTCAGAACTGTGAGAAAATCAATGTCTGTTGTTTAAGCCAAAAACGAGAGAGAGAGAGAGAGAGAGAGAGAGAGAGAGAGAGAGAGAGAGAGAGAATATGAGAATGATATGTCCCACCCATGACGTGATGACTTTGGAAACAGATTCAAACTCTTCTGGGAGGCTGTCTCCAACTATACCAACTCACTGCTACCCTACAGCAGCTGCTCCCAACCAGACTGATGTGTTGACAAACAGGGTTGTTTCCTAGAATGATTCTGGTCCAATCCAACAGATTCGTTGCTGAATGAATGCATGTGCAAGGGGCCCTGAGAGAATCAGCTAAGGAGCTAATGGTTTAGATACCAACAGAATGAGGTATGAAGCTTCTTTCCAGTCAGGGTAATTACCAGAGATGCTGACTGAGTTCTGGAGAGAAGATATGATCGATGACTTCTCAGGGTAAGGGTTCTCTAATGTGGGTTTACTGAATAGAAATTTTGTTCATTCCAGGGAGAGAAGCCATTGATCTCTCGGAATTTCAAATAGGTCTTGACCCCCAAATTTTAATAACCATTTTCTCAGAAAGCAAGGTTTTATGAGAAAACATTACTTTCTATCATTCCAAACAATATATGAATTCTTAAATATTTTTTAAAGATGTGAACAATGTATGCAAGTCATAGAGACAAAACCTAGTGATATAATTTTAAAAATTCATTCAGATTTTTGTAAGGTAAATTGGTATTGACATTTCATGCAAATTTGATGGTGAGAAGTAAAATATGTGTTTTTCCATTTGGCAATAACTGATTTCTTTGGAGCCTTTGGTATGATCAACAAGTATTGGCAGTGAGCTTAGCAAATGCAATGTGGAGAAAGACCACATCTGTAGGAGACTGCAGGATTTGTAATGTCATTCCACCTCAATGGGTAGGTCAAAATATGGCACCATTTCATGAATGTGCCCTGCTTACAGTGATGTGGGAGTTGGGTACTGCTGGGTATGGGCAGACCACTTAGGCCAATATTTTTCAATCTGTGGGCTACAAAATTAATGTAGTATCTGTAAGCAACTTTTTAAAAAATTAAATAAAGATATTTGAGTACACTCAAGAATTAGGATAAGTATCATTTCATGAAACTTTTGTCTCCATTACAGACATATTTATAATGTTTCATGTGTATGTATACACATGAAAATGTATAATGAGTCCCAATGTGTTTCTTTTTTTGGTGTTTTTTTAATCCTCACTTGTGTCTATTTTATTCCACTGCTTTTTCAGAGAGAGAGTAGGAGGGAAGGAGGGAGAGAAACATTGACATGAGAGAGACACATTGGTTGGTTGCTTCCCGCATGCAACCCAACCAGGGGCAAGGTGCGAATGGCAACCCAGGTATATGCCCTTGACCAGAAATTGAACTCGGGACCCTTTGGTGTGGGGGCCAGTGCTCTATCCACTGAGAAACACTAGCTAGGGTCCCAGTGTGTTTCTTAATGAGAGTTGCTGTTCAAAGAGTTTAAAAATCACTAGCTGAAAGCATCTATATGTGTTTCCTTGGGCTATGAATGTGGCAGTTGTACTAAAATTTCTAGAAATATGATTCCACATGACTTCAGATGCAGCACAATTTAGTGACATCACACCAGGGTAGCCAGACAGTTCCCAGTCCATCAACCAGACCCCCAACAAGAAACAAGTGTGAGTGGCAGTTGTCAGAGCTGGCTCGGTGCCTCACCACGTCAGGCACACAGTCCTCTGTCGGCTTGCTGAGGACCTCAAACCATGGACAGCTAGTTGAATTGAAACATTCAACAAAATCTTGAACAGATTTAAAATGGTTTCATGACAACACACAATTTTAATGGGAAATAAAATGTCTGCATTTTGAATCATTTGACACTATTTTTTTTTCCACTCGATGTGATGCATTCGTTTCTCTGCACCATAAGGTCCCACTTCTGTGGCCTCACTTCTCAATGTTTAAAAAGAGTCCCAGTTTTTATGACTTTCCACATCCTAATTAATGTTTCATCAGGATTCTGGACAGTTCATATGTAAGAGCAGTAACTCACACTTCGTGAAGGCACAATTGCATGTCAGGATATGCCAGGCCATGCTGAACTGAGATCAATGTACTCCAGGGTGATTAAGACGGCAAGTGGAAGGCTGTAGACTCACCTATTAGTTTTAAACAAATCATGTTGCATAAAAGAGATTACCAACTTATAAGGGCATATGAGCAATCCAGCTGGTTTTGATTCAATGCCTCTTTTTTCAAGAGATTATTTTTTCAAGAGATTATGTTTGTAAGACAGACAGCAAGGAACTCCAATATCAGTGGATGAATGAGTCTGAAAATGAGGGAGGGAATCTATGTAAATCCTTTGCAAAGTCCTTCAGATTCAGAGACCTATAAAACAACCCAAGCATTCACATTTCTTGGGGAAAACATTGCTCCTTTTCTTACTGTGATATCCTTTAGGCGAGAAAAACATTACAGTGTGCTATGATGTTAACTATTACTATTCCATTCCCCATCAGAATGCTTATGTGTCGTTTACATAATTTATGTTTACAATGATGAAGCAATTAGATCAGGGTGCTTATGAAGGAATTTTCTCAGAATTGGATATTAAGTCTATTTCATTAGCTGTCAAAAGGGTCAAATCTCAATTATTCTTGGCAATAGGAGGCACAGAGGAATAATGAAAATCCACATTCTACATAGGTGGATTCCAAATAGTTGAATTGACACAATGAAATAGAACATTGATATCTGGCATTTCAGAATTGGGATTATACCCTAATAATATTAATTTTAGGTTTGTACAACTTTAATTATAGGAATATAAAGAAACTAAATAAAACTGTATTAAAACATATTCCTGCCCAGCTGGTGTGGTTCAGTGGTTGAGCATCTACTATGAACCACGGTTCAAGTCCCAGTCAGGGCACATGTTCGATCCCCAGTGTGGGGCATGCAGAAGGCAGCCAATCGATGATTCGCTCTCATCATTGATGTTCTTTCTCTCTCTCTCCCTCTCCCTTCCTATCTGAAATCAATAAACAAAAGCAAAACATTCCTAGAATGAGTTGGGAGACCTCTCCCACCCCATTCTACATATGAGCATGCACATAGACACACACAAGTTCCTCAAACGTTCTGTATTTGACTCAACACTAGGCATCTGGTGAATATCATGAAACATAGATTTTCCTCAGTAATTTAAGACAAATTCATGAGTGGGATACTGTGTAAGGCAAAGGGTGTATCAGCTTTACAGACAGGATTTCTCCTCTGTCGGGAGAATGAGGCACGTAAGTTCAATCAGTTTATCACAGCAAGAGGAAGGAGAACGACCAATATCACTGTTTCCACAAATCATGAGGAAAAACTGGGAGCCTGGTGGTCCTAAGGCCTGTACACTTCACAGCCACACCTCCGGCTCAGGTGGCAGCTTAGGGATGGACTGTTTGTCCCTGCCCCTCATCACACTGACTTATGCTGGCTATTGAGATGGGTGGGAATTCGGGCTTCTGCAATGGAAGAGTGAGGTTGCAGATCAAAATAATTGTACTTAAAATGGCTTGAAGTGTGACATCTTAGGGGAGAAATTATGGGATGTCTGATGACTTTCTGTCCCGAGGAGGGATTCTACTGAGTAATTCTGCTCTGCTTTCATTCTCCAGTGAGCCTGTAACAGAATAATTTCATTCTAACTTATTTCACCACGTGATTTCAAAACAGTCCCTTACCTCAATCTTCCACTTCCCATTTCCATTGGGAAACGGGCATTAAGGGAGAACATGAATAAGGAAGAATAACTGTTGTAAAGTCACAGGTTCATACAGGTGAAACACAGAGGGCAAAATCCACCAAGGGCTCTCTAGACAGTAGTATGGGTTTATAAGAAGAATAGTGAATGATGTTGCCTATGCAGAAATCACAGTTACAGATAATTTGCATGAAAAACGCCCTTTTAATCCTTACTCAGAATCAACAAAAGAGGAAAGAAGACACAGGCAAGTTGCAGAGCAATTCAGAAGCAATTAATTATGTTTTAAATTGGACACAGAAATAACATTTAAAAGCAGCAGCCCCAAGGATGGGCTTTTCAGCGACTTCTTCATGAAAGCAAATAGGCTATCACAGAGGAGGTTGTTCAGAGGCTTAGATGAAAGAACAGAGATCTAACGGGCTCTGAATGAGCTGGGTTTGCACAGAAAATGAGCTTGCTATATTGACTAGAAGTCATATGGCTATTGTGAGTAATCAA